ATATATGTCCCCCAGCCAGCTCTTCTAAAATAACTGGATACAAATTACTCAGAATTGCAAATATCAAATTACGAACCTTACTATCAACTCATTAATGTCATCCTAAATTATTCTTGATATGGAAATATTTAATAGTCTCTGCTATACCAAACATCTGTCTTTTCCCAGCTACACAACAGAAGTGCTTATTGATCTCTTTTTAATTAACTGTTACTAAAGCCAAGCTTTCCCTCTAGTAATGAATCACTATCAGAATTCCTGCAGCTTTGGTTTACTCAGGAAAAAATCTTAGTCCTTTTATTCCTAACAATATTGGCAATCGCTTGTTCCTTGTATCTGTTTTTCTTGATTAAACTCCTGCATTCTTAACCTCTGGCTTATATTCGGTATTACTATCTTTTTTATGCAATTCTAGCTTTAAGTCTGCTTGGTGTTTTAATTAATATGATGTTCCTTCTGAAGGAAGGTGGCGGCTTTTTCAAACAGGGCTGATGCCCAGAGAAATTTTCTTAGTTAGCATTCATAGTTTTCTGCACTTTTTTTTCCTCATGGTGTTATGGTTTCTAATTGTTTTTCTCTTGGAAGAACTGACTTATTTTAAAGCTACAGATACAGTGGTTTGGATGTTAATCATGCTTTCAGATAACAGTATGAACTATCATGATTTCTCGTATAAAAGTTACACTTATTTTTAGGTGTGTGGTCTGTTGATTTTCATATGCTAAGATGACTTCTTTAGAGAAACTGCTTGTGCCAGACACAGCATTTTTTTTGTTAGTGAGAAATCTTTTGTCTCTAAACACTTTATAGATAGCACTGTGTCTCCTCTCCTGTGCCCACATATGTTACTCAGAATTTAGTTATTCATGATAAAGTTGATCTTCACGCCCTCCCTTTTGTTACATGCAGATGCGATTGTCTTGGGATTTTAATTCGATTGAGTAGATTGTAGTAGACACCTATTAGTAAACTACCTAGTATTTATGATACAGAACTGATTTTATAAGCATTTGGCATCATGTTGCTCTTGAGCTGACAGAAACAGTGTAATTTTTGACATAAATAGCCATTTTCCTTTCTTTTTTCCAAGTTGCTCCATTATGAACACCTTAGAAATTTTTTTTTAACAACCCAAGAATTAGGCTCACTTCACCAGCTTTCAGTAGCACCACCTAGGCTTTCTGGTTTATAGCCCAAGCTCCCAGTGTTTTTGTACAAACCAGTAAATGACCTCTTTATCATTCTCTAATGTCAGCATGAGTTCAGGATGCTGAAGACCTTATACATCCAGCATTAGTCTGCATTAGCAGTGACAACAGGATAGGGCACCAGACGTTCATATTGACGTCAATGACAACACTCACATTGGGACAGAGCCTCTGCTAGAGCTGTGGAATGTGCAGCTGGTGACGTTGAATCAATGTGGATATAAGATGCGTTTGGACTTACCCAGTTGTGGGGCTGTTCTGCAAAAAACTAGGATAGCTTTTTTATGAGGACTGCCAGCCAAGCTGCATCACAGCTCACCCTCGTTTCTAGGAAAACAAGGAATAATAATCCCGTGAAATGCTCTGATTCTAATAAAAGACATTTTTTGAAATGTTTCCAACCATCTCAGTTGCTCGACCCACTGTCTGAACGACTGCACCCTCTAATGGGGTAAAACAGATTGACTTTCAAAGCAGCCAATTTATTTTTATATTGTTTATATCCTTCTAGTCCTTATAGGCATAATATAACAGCCCATTCTTGTGACAGTAAAATAAGCACAGTTTTGCTGAATGTAGATTACAGGGGAGGTGTGAATAGCCAACAAAGACGTCATATGATCTACTTCTGGTTAATGAAAAGTATGTAAATAGCTGTATACATGCATGCTGAAATGAGAAAGGAATTTTAACAAAATCGTAGAAAGGAGAACTTATTTCACTCCTAAGTCCAGAAAAAAGTATGATATTTTATTTATTTTTTTTTTAATTGTTTGAAGCCATCTCATTTTGCCAAAGCTTGGTGGGTAAGTAAAAGTTTGAACAATGAAAGTGAGACGAAATAGGCACTTAACCATGATGTTGCATCTTGTTAAACAGGTAATTCTCTAATGGACAAATGAAAGCCAACGATGACAAGTTGTGGTCAACAGTGCTTGAATGTGCTGATGGTTCTGCTTTCATTACTCCTGTCAGCAGGTAACTTTTACACTTTGAATTTATCTTTCACTGATGTATGCCACAGGGAAAAATTAGTTGCAATTTAATACTGGGTTCCTACAAAACAAACAAGATCAAATGGGATTGTTGATTGAGTAATGCATTAATAAAGCCTCTTTGTATTTAAGAACTGGAAGCTGGAATTTGAAATACAATTGAAAATTCAGTTTAAGAAGGAAAAGGTGGTTGGACACTGACATGGTAAAGCAGGCTGAAAAATTAAAAGAAACAAAGCTACCGTTTTGATACACTAGTTTTTCAGCTCATCTAAAAGAAAAAAGCAAGCTCTATACCACTGTACAATCCAACCATTTTGATAAATAACCATCTACTGGAAGCAGAGCAAGTCAGGTTCCAATTGTGTGGGTTTTTTATATATGCATACGAGAGTATGTGAGCATGTCAAGGATTGAACTTGGAACTTCAGCTGTTCTTGAGATGAATACATGTTAGGTACGATGTAACTTGTATATGTTTAGAAGAAAAATGCATGACATCATGGTACACAAATATTATGTTATTTTCCTCAGTCTAAAGAATTGACTGCACCAGGGAGTGGTTCCAGAGATTTTTCATCTGATGCTTGGTAGATCTGGTCTAGATCTTTGCTACTAGCACACAGAAAGGATTTGTACAGAAGTCTGTCAGTTATTAGATTGAAAATTAGTCAGATGCTATGATTATTAGTTACATTTGGTCTTCAGGAGTTATTTATGCCATTGAGGTTTTCTGTAATTATGAATGAATATTGTAAAAAAATAATTAAGGTTTAGGCCAAACTCTCATTACAACCTCTTTTATCCCCCATTCTTGGAGCATTTTTTAATCCAAAAAGATTTTTTTTTCCACCAGTGCTCCTTATTCCCTTGTACTACATCACATGCCTAACCACCATACTTAAAAATTTACCAGATGTTATATATCTTAGTGTCCTTGTGCTCCAGTAACAGTTATTACTACTACGTCTGCATAAAGCCTATAATATTCAGTGTTAGATCCTCATCAATTAGTTCAAGTGTGCGTTTTGTTGCCCAGTCTCGTTGCTTGTTTGCAAGTGTTCAAGCTGGTTCTTGATAGTTCATTATTTAGCTATAACTGACACAGTCCTTTACTAATGATGTTATAATATTATCAACTAGACTACTACTGTGCCTAATCTTAAAACACTATTTTCCTTTAGAGTCCTTCCACTGATATCCCTGTGTATGGCGCTGCATCCCTAGTTGTGTAACTACCCTCCTCCTCCTATGTGCTACAATCAGGAATAGGGGTTGTAGCAGCTTCTTTGTTGTTTTCCAGGTCAAAGTCATTTCGGAAAGCTATTTCCCTGGTGCATGAATTAAGCCAATTATTCAAGAAGACTTAAGTGAATGTATCCCAGTGATCAAACATCACAAAACTTCCAGCTGCTCCAGTCTTTTCTGTTGATTTTTGTTAAGTTTTCATACCTTTACCACTCTTTACAGGGGATTTCTTCTAGAGACCTCCTGACATTCCACTTCTCCAACCATTTTCCTCAAGATGATATAAATATCTGTGTTCCAATTGAATGGGACACTGTGATTACACCGTGCGTGCAAATAGAAGTAGTCAAACCCTGGTGTATACACACTTATTCCCTCAAACCCAGATATAAAGCCAGTGTTCTAATACTTTTTTCTTTTAGAAGAAAAGTCCTGCCTCTGAAGTACAATTTTTTTGTTTGAAACTAATTACATATAGCTTTTACTTCTTACATTATTTATTTATTAACATCACAAACTATTGTCTTCGTAAATGTGTACCTTATATTCTTGTTGCTCCTTGGCTATTGGTATTTTACTATCTGACACCCATTATTAGCATGTAGAGTACAGGCTTAATAGGAAATCATCACAAGCCTTTCATGCCAGCCTAACGCTGGTCCTTGGGCAATTTTTCTACTGACATCTATAGGCGTAGGTTTGGGTCATTGCTAACTCACACACGTTTTACAGGATGAAATTTGTATTTACTATTTTGCAGCCAGCATGAATGTAAAAAAAATTTTTTTTTCCAATACAGGTCAGTTTCCATAAAAGAAAACTACTGGCTTTATGCAGTGAGAATGACAGGGATAAAAAGGATGCTACTCTCACTGGAATGATACGAACATAATTTTTCAACTGAGCTGAAATGAAAATCTAATGGCAAGACTCCTTTTTAAGTTACCTAGATTTACAGACTTCTGTCTGTAAGATCATGCTTTACTTCCAAGTCTTCAATATACTAAGATTCACAGTCTTAGTCCTAAATTTCTAGAATCTGTATGCATGGTTGAAAACTGCACTTACCAATTGGAAGTACAGTTTTCACTGGCTCCACAGGTGGAATAAAAGTAAGGCACAAGTAACAGAAAAGTTCCCAGAGCAGCTGTTCTCAGAGCCCGGTCTTCATTGCGTCAGAAAAGGAGAGAAGCAGCGATAGTGGCAGTGGAGCAGAGGTGTGGTCAGATGCTAAGCTCATGGCTCAGAATGAGGATGACGTTTGGAAGCTTTAGCTGTGTGGTTAGGAAGGAGATGCAGTTGCCTAATGTGGGCAAAATGCTGTCAGGGCAGGGACAAATAATGCTGAAAAGAAAGGCTTCAGTTTAGAGTAGGTAGGCAATGGCTTCATTTAAAAAAAGGTTGAAATTGGTTTGAGAATACTGAAACTTCGTACTGATTTTATTTCAGTATTATCAAGATCACAGTGGCATGCAGTTTTAGGATTCGTGAACACTTACTAGTTGTACTAGTCACACCAGGAATGCATAATAAAGGGAGGAGCAGCAGCATGCAGTCATGCCGGAAGAATACCCTTTCTGACCACTATCTCGTAGCTTTGCTTTGCAGTACTGTTGGTAGTTATATTCATTTAATGGACTGAAACACATTTATAAAATCAGGGATGACAGCAAGGCTCATATTAACAAGCAAAAATGGACAGATTATTTGCATGTTATAGTATTTTTTTCTTTGAAGTAGGAAATGAATGTCCATATAGCAAAATTATGAGAGGATCTCAAGTGGTTGGCATTGTGCTAAGTAAAATGCATACATGTGAATATTTCTGTGGATCCATGTGGAAAGTTTATAAAGACCAGCCATTCTGAAAGCCTTGGGGCTTTAAAAATTTAGTAGCTAAGTTAAAAATTTAATCAGCATTGCACAGATCTCTAACTGTGAACAGATAGGGAAGTAACAGTTTGATGTACACTGGCTGTTTATTTTTTAAGGTAGAGTAGATAAATCTTAAGGATGAGCTTAAATCAGTCATTTGAAGCATGACAGACAATTCTCCTCTCACAAATAGTAGGAACAGAGATAGGAGCATCTATATCACTTACCCATTCAATAATACTTTTCAAAAATAGTACGAGAATTTGCACATGCAATGCCACTTCAGGAACAGCTGCCATCTTTGCAACAGACAACCTAAGAGCCTTTCAGGTACAATACTTTTATCTGAAGTATTTCTGTAGAAATAAGGCTCTTTAATCCTCAGGATTTAAGCAAAGTTATTTTCAGGAAAAACACATAAAAAAATTTACACTGCTTATTGGATCTCTGATTCTCAGAGAAGCAAACACAGCAAGTAAAATTACACAAATTACAATAAGTCGATGAAATTTTTTCATTGCGTACTAGGTTTGGCTGGGATGGGGTTAATTTTCTTCACAGCAGCCCGTATGGTGCTATGTTTTAGATTGGTGACCAGAAACCAGTGTTGGTAATGCACCAGTATTTTAGCTATTGCTGCACAGCCCTTACACAGGGTCAGGGCTGCTTCTGTTTCTCAGTGTGCACCCAGCGAGGAGGCTGGGGTGGGCAAGAGCCTGGCAGGGACACAGCTGGCCCAGCTGGCCCAAACTGGCCAAAGTGATACTCCATACCATCTAATGGCATGCTCAGCAATAAAACTGGGGTGGGAGTTTATCCAAAAAGTGCTCGGGGACTGGCTGGCCATCAGTCTGCTGGTAGTGACTGACTACTTTAGCATCACTTGTGGGTTGAGGTTTTTTTGTTGCTGTTGTTGGTTTTTTTTTTTTCTTATTCATTTATTAAACGGTCTTTATGTCGACCCACGAATTTTCTTGCTTTGCCCTTCTGATTCTCTCACCCATCCCACTGGGAGGGGGAGTGAACAAGCAGCTGTGTGGTGCTTAGCTGCCTATCAGGCTTAACCCACCACACACTGACTACCAAATTCAGACTGTAATTCAATCATCGTGTTATGCTCTTATTTGTGCATTTATTTTAATCACTGACACACATTTTACTATTTAAGGATTTGCTTAGAACCACATTTTGTTACAGACATCACTCCTCCTCTGACCTGATGTTATCTTCATTCTCCCTTCATTCTGTAGTCATCCTCCTCCCAGTTTTCAACCCCCCAAAAGTTTGGGGTTTATTTTCCTTCTAAAATGGGCAAAAGACCTGTCTAGGGATCAGAGGACACTTTCACCTGTGCTGTTAGGTAAATCACTTTGCAGTGATGAGCAAGCTAAACTTCTTAGGGTCCTATAGCCCTCTAGTGCATTCTCACAACGCAATATATCTCAGAGCACTGAATAATTTCAGAAACCTGGAATTACTCAATTGCTTACAAAACATAAAGAACTAGTTTTAATTCTTATGATGCGCGCTAGATGTATATACAAGTCAGGTATAACCTTGCAGGGCTGCTGTTCGCTTGCAGTAGCTTAACATGGGTGTAATTCACCTGAGCTAAAGTTGTAGTAATAACATACGAAAAACGACATTTTTGCTATCCTGTTATTTGCAAAGCTAGTTCCAGCAGTAAATATCTTCTATTAAAATGTCCCTAACTTGAAACCACCATCTATACTGGAGGCTTCAAGAATTACTAGTATGTAGGTAGTTGTAGTAATGTTACTTTTAAAAGGAAAAATAAGTTAATATATCTTTAGCCATAAAAGGCATTATATCTGCATTTTGAAAAAAATTATGACCCTGTTGATAATGTATGATAAACAAAATTTGTGTTGCACTTCGAGGCTTTGTATGTACCAAAGAAGAAAATTTTGTTTCCTAGGAGCAGCTGATCTATTCAAAATGCAGATATTCCAGCTAAGAAGGAATAAGTCAAGACGGCTAAAAAGTGAGAACTGTCGAACTAATCAGTTCAGATCAGTTATATTGTCTCTATGGCTGCACCTGAAGTAGGACATACATTCAGCCGTCTAATTCTGATAAGAAATCTGTAGGTTCAGTGAAAGTAATCCTTCAGCTGGATAGGGAAAGCACTGGACAAGGTGGGGAGAAAAAACCCAAACACAAATATTCAGGACATAAGCAACCCCTAAAGGAGAAGAATGGAAAGATATTTCACTAGAGAGTTTATTGCACAGCTTTTTCAGTATAGCACATATGCATCTTCCTTTGAAGCATCTGAAGCTGGCCATTTATCAGAGAAGTATTAGATGGGTGTTCCTCTGCTGGATACTGTAAATAAAAATGCCATGGATAAACATCAGTATTGGAAGCACAGTGCTACACTATTAAGGCTACTCCTCCATGTGCATTTATTAGGTCCAATAACAAGACTTACTTTCTGTTTGCTGACATCAGGCATAGACCCACCTTTTTTCCTAGTAATGATGATTAGTGGAACTACACGCATTGTAATGCATTTAATGCACCCTTGCAAGCTGATATCAGACATTTACAAAACACTTAAGGACCTTTATAGGTGCCTAACCATGTGCATTTAATGCCATTTGACTTGCTCCAGATCATCCATGGGTGCACCAGACCTACAAGAGACCTGCATCTCCTGCACTGAAGGCTGGAGACCAGACAGGACAGCCTAGGGAAATTTTAGCTGGCACCAGAGACCTGTATTTAAGTAGCTGAATCAAGCTCCTGTTCTTGTTAGAAATCAAATACTTGGTTTAGTTGAGAGTTCTATTTAATTTGTGAATTTCTCCCATGCTCTTCCATTATTTTCTAGATTTAACTTTTCCAAAACCAAATGATATGTAATTAAAACTAAAATGATGATGGGATGGAGTGCGATCTCAGGAAGTTTTCTGCTGACACATAAGTGGGAAGAGTGGCTTATATGCCATAGGGTTGCGCTGCTAACCAAAGGGACCTGGACAGGCTGGAGAAATGGGCTGACAGGAACCTCGTGAAGTTCAACAAGGGAAAGTGCTAAGTCCTGCACCTTCCTGGGGAGGAGCAACCTTGGGCACCAGTATATGCTGGGGGCCAGCTGGCTGGAAAGCTCTTTGTCTTTATGGCTCCATTAGTAGGTCAAGGGAGGTGATCCTTCCCCTCTACTGAGCACTGGTGAGGACACACCTGAAGTGCTGTGTTCATTTCTGGGGTTCACAGTACAGGAGGGAGATGGAGATACTGGAGAGAGTTCAGCAAAGGGCCCCTGGATGATGAATGTGACTGGAGCATCTCTCACATGAGGAAAGGCTGAGAGAGCTGGGACTGTTCAGTCTAAGGAAGAGAAGGCTTAGGGGATATTATCAATGTATATAAGTAGCTGAAGGGGGAATGTAAAGAAGACTTCATTCTGTAGTCATCCTCCTCCCAGTTTTCAACCCCCCAAAAGTTTGGGGTTTATTTTCCTTCTAAAATGGGCAAAAGACCTGTCTAGGGATCAGAGGACACTTTCACCTGTGCTGTTAGGTAAATCACTTTGCAGTGATGAGCAAGCTAAACTTCTTAGGGTCCTATAGCCCTCTAGTGCATTCTCACAACGCAATATATCTCAGAGCACTGAATAATTTCAGAAACCTGGAATTACTCAATTGCTTACAAAACATAAAGAACTAGTTTTAATTCTTATGATGCGCGCTAGATGTATATACAAGTCAGGTATAACCTTGCAGGGCTGCTGTTCGCTTGCAGTAGCTTAACATGGGTGTAATTCACCTGAGCTAAAGTTGTAGTAATAACATACGAAAAACGACATTTTTGCTATCCTGTTATTTGCAAAGCTAGTTCCAGCAGTAAATATCTTCTATTAAAATGACCCTAACTTGAAACCACCATCTATACTGGAGGCTTCAAGAATTACTAGTATGTAGGTAGTTGTAGTAATGTTACTTTTAAAAGGAAAAATAAGTTAATATATCTTTAGCCATAAAAGGCATTATATCTGCATTTTGAAAAAAATTATGACCCTGTTGATAATGTATGATAAACAAAATTTGTGTTGCACTTCGAGGCTTTGTATGTACCAAAGAAGAAAATTTTGTTTCCTAGGAGCAGCTGATCTATTCAAAATGCAGATATTCCAGCTAAGAAGGAATAAGTCAAGACGGCTAAAAAGTGAGAACTGTCGAACTAATCAGTTCAGATCAGTTATATTGTCTCTATGGCTGCACCTGAAGTAGGACATACATTCAGCCGTCTAATTCTGATAAGAAATCTGTAGGTTCAGTGAAAGTAATCCTTCAGCTGGATAGGGAAAGCACTGGACAAGGTGGGGAGAAAAAACCCAAACACAAATATTCAGGACATAAGCAACCCCTAAAGGAGAAGAATGGAAAGATATTTCACTAGAGAGTTTATTGCACAGCTTTTTCAGTATAGCACATATGCATCTTCCTTTGAAGCATCTGAAGCTGGCCATTTATCAGAGAAGTATTAGATGGGTGTTCCTCTGCTGGATACTGTAAATAAAAATGCCATGGATAAACATCAGTATTGGAAGCACAGTGCTACACTATTAAGGCTACTCCTCCATGTGCATTTATTAGGTCCAATAACAAGACTTACTTTCTGTTTGCTGACATCAGGCATAGACCCACCTTTTTTCCTAGTAATGATGATTAGTGGAACTACACGCATTGTAATGCATTTAATGCACCCTTGCAAGCTGATATCAGACATTTACAAAACACTTAAGGACCTTTATAGGTGCCTAACCATGTGCATTTAATGCCATTTGACTTGCTCCAGATCATCCATGGGTGCACCAGACCTACAAGAGACCTGCATCTCCTGCACTGAAGGCTGGAGACCAGACAGGACAGCCTAGGGAAATTTTAGCTGGCACCAGAGACCTGTATTTAAGTAGCTGAATCAAGCTCCTGTTCTTGTTAGAAATCAAATACTTGGTTTAGTTGAGAGTTCTATTTAATTTGTGAATTTCTCCCATGCTCTTCCATTATTTTCTAGATTTAACTTTTCCAAAACCAAATGATATGTAATTAAAACTAAAATGATGATGGGATGGAGGGCGATCTCAGGAAGTTTTCTGCTGACACATAAGTGGGAAGAGTGGCTTATATGCCATAGGGTTGCGCTGCTAACCAAAGGGACCTGGACAGGCTGGAGAAATGGGCTGACAGGAACCTCGTGAAGTTCAACAAGGGAAAGTGCTAAGTCCTGCACCTTCCTGGGGAGGAGCAACCTTGGGCACCAGTATATGCTGGGGGCCAGCTGGCTGGAAAGCTCTTTGTCTTTATGGCTCCATTAGTAGGTCAAGGGAGGTGATCCTTCCCCTCTACTGAGCACTGGTGAGGACACACCTGAAGTGCTGTGTTCATTTCTGGGGTTCACAGTACAGGAGGGAGATGGAGATACTGGAGAGAGTTCAGCAAAGGGCCCCTGGATGATGAATGTGACTGGAGCATCTCTCACATGAGGAAAGGCTGAGAGAGCTGGGACTGTTCAGTCTAAGGAAGAGAAGGCTTAGGGGATATTATCAATGTATATAAGTAGCTGAAGGGGGAATGTAAAGAAGACTGAGCCAGGCTCTTTTGGGTGGCGCCCTGTGACGGGACCAGAGGCAATGGTCACAAGCTGAAACACGGAAGGTTCCCTCTGAACATCAAGAAACACTTTTTCATTGTGACGGTGACTGAGCACTGCCACAAGGTGCCTGGGGTGGTTGTAGGGTCTGCATCCTTAGAGATACTCAAAAGCTGTCTGGACGTGGTTCTGGGCAACAGGCTGTCAGTGGCCCTGCTTGAGCAGAGGGGTTGGAGCAGGTGACCTCCAGAGGTCCCTTCCAACCACAGCCATTGAGTTTTTACAAAACTTAATCAATGCTGGAACACTTCTGTTATTGTTATGTTAATTTGGGGGTGCGCAGGGCAGTAAGTACTTGTTCAAACAAATATATGTTCATGCAATTACATGCTTTGTGGATTTTGCGACAGAATTTGAACATGCATATTTGTTACAAGAGTTACAGAGCATTTTGAAAACCTAACTCTAAAGAAAGACAATTTCTTCACTGATTATAGCATTCTCAGATTTGGAACACAGATTTTTTTCCCAGGCAGGGCAAGAACAGATATGTAATTAGTTTTCTCAGTATCTAATGTCCTTTAGAAATAGCATTCTTCTAGCACTTTCAGTTCCTGACTGAATTAATCTGCAAAAGGATTTTCTCTTGTTAAAGTAATGATGACAGGTATGTGCCAGTGTGTGTGTGTGCCAATGTGTGTGTGTGTAGATATATAAATGTAAAACATTTAGACTGGTTTGCCTTCACTCAGAGGGCAGTACAAGTTACCTTGTTTTCTCTTTAACTTAGTACTCTGTGTTTTGTTCTAGGCTCTCTCTACATACAAATAAAGAAGTAATCTGCACTGTCACAATCCTGAAAATGTGACTAGACCTACATAAAGAGAGAGAGATATTCTTGAAATTAATATATTTTATAAAATTGAGAAACAAAAGTGTTAGGAATAGGTGTTTTTAAGCAACATAGAAAGAAATGAGGACTAGATGGATAAGGTGCACAGATGCAATTACAGATCAGCAGGGACTACATGCAGAGAGATAAAATACTTGAGCTAAATCCGTGCAAGTCATTATCTGTAACTTCTTGCACTGGTAAACTGATACAAAAATCATACACCAAGTTACAAGGGTTAATTCTGTCAGTCTAAAGTGAATATCCTTTATTAATTGGTGCAACCTTATGAAGTGTAGCTATCTACAGCGTTGCTGTGCCTCTGTTCTCTAATCAGAGTAAAAACATTTCACTGCTAAGAGTACTCAGACTCTTGACTTCTACATCTCACTTCCCCTAGAGTGTAAGGCCTTTGGGGGGTCTGTACGGTACATGTCATCTTAAATGATGCCGTAAGTCCTACTGTAACACAAACTACAAATCAGTTAAAATGTTGGTTGTATGTGGAACCAAATACTGTTTCTTACAAGGCTTTTCAGGAGGTTGCATGTGGTTGCTTATGACTCTACTGGAAAGGATCTGTGGCCTGCCTCTCTGCACGGTTGATTAGCTTAGGGTAACTAAGATGATTGCACAGCTTCCAGTTCGGAGCTGTTTGCAACCAGTAGGCTCTGAGCACGGTCAGAGCGCTTGCATCTGCCCACAGTCTCACCATGCAGATGTAACCACAGTGTGCCTGTCTCCACACAACAATCAGCCTCAAGTCTGCATTCAGAGGATATATGAGAGCATGTTTTTTTCCTTGGGAGAAGTGATAGCGAAATCAGTGTGACCCAGTCCTGTAAAAAATGTTCTCAGATGTAATAAACACTTTACATGAGAATTTAATAAAGGAGAAATGTAAGAACTCCCAGGAATAGCTGCATTTCTATTAGTTCTATCTATTTGCAAATTCAAAGTTGTTCAGATCTGTCATACTGTTTTGTAATTACTATTTCTGGCAGAATAATACTTGTCAAAGGATGACCTTTACAGTAGAGAAGATATTTTCTGTCAAGAACAGTGACTGTAAATCAAGTGCCATCAAACTTCTATTGCAGTTCTAACATAGACTTTTTGTCTTTACGAAGTCATCCCAGGAGAATCAAACATGAACATTGTTGGGTGTTTATGGATATCCATATATTTAGAACAGCAGTATGAAAACGTTTCCCTAAATATTTTTGTGCTTCTTGGCATGGAGGGCATTTCTTCTCTTCCCTTAAAAGAAATAATAGTAATCAGAAACGTAGTAACAATAAAAGTCAAAATACAAGAAGAGGCTAAATATCAGAATCTTTTAGTAGTAAATGTTAGGATGTTGAAAGTTCTGAAATAGTTATGTTTTGCAGAAATCAAACAATTGTTTAAGCTTAACTAATGAAAAATTATAGTTCATAACATACAGATAACACAAGTGACTCATAAAACCAATATTGTTCTTTGTTTTACAGTGTTGTCCGCACATTTTCGGGTCTGCGAGCCATATACGGACTACAAAGGTCGCTACCACTTTGGTTTTCACTGCCCCCGTCTTTCTGACAATAAATCTTACATCTTTTGCTGTCACCATAACAACACAGTATTTAAATACTGCTGCAATGAGACAGAATTTCAGACTGTTATGCAGATGAACTTAACAGGCAACGCAGATGGGTATATGCATAAGTAAGTAAATGAGTTTTAAAGTACCAAACTGTTCCTGGTCTAATAACATAGTCTGAGGTGTACTTAATGGTGGAAGCAATTAGAATAATTGCACATACAGAAAAATATTGCTAAAAGGTTTTTGCTGTTACTGAACTCCTAAAAGAAAGGATATTTTAGCTTTGCTTTCTTTGCTTTGACGTGGGCTATAAACATTGCTAGGAGAGCAGGTATGTAAAAGTTGTATATATATGTAACAAATATAAAGTTACATATAAAAGTTACAAAAGTCTCTCCCCCAACCCCAGTCTGATCCAAGCTATGTTTAAGTGTATATCAGTAAAAATAAATCCCAAAGCTGTCTGTAGGGGAGAGAGGGAGGGAGTTGACATTTTCCATATCAGCCCAAATGCACTGTTTTGAATCTCTGATGTTTTGAATATAAATCTCTTGTAATCACTGACCTTGGGGTATTTGCTTATATACCAACATTGTGCGGTCTCCTTGCCTGTTACCTGGGCTACTTCCATGTGCTGCTGGGGCCTGTCTTCCAAGATGCATGTCAGTAACTTTATTTCTAAAGAACCAGTAAGTAGCAAGTAGGTCTTTGTTGCTGATTACCTATTTACGATGACAAAATCTTCACTTGTGGTCTGTCTCCTATTTAGTATTTGACATTCTGGGCACACTAATCTGCTGCAATTTCTCTTGGTGCAGAGGGCAACGTTCGGCTGATGTAAACCCCCGAGGTCGAATTCTGATTGATCTGCTTTCCCCTGCCATTTTATTCTAGTATCCAGCCCCTCCAGGGCAAGGAAGGAGCAGATTAAAGACAACTGGAATTCCAGTCTATCGATTTTTGTTTACAAAGGGGATTTTAGTGTTTTCTTCTGCAGGGCAAAAGTCAGTCGGTGTGTTGTCGTTCACTCCCATGGAAGCGGGTGCAAGGCTGCTAGGAGACTGTGGTGCTGGAATACTGATGTCGGCTTTTAACTCGCTGTGCGCAGCTGCATGCCGCAGCAGCCAGCTCACGGAGTCAGCAAACTGTTGTCTTCCTTAACAACTGCTCCTCATACAGCTCTGCCTAGAGAAGTTTGAGTCTTGCATAGATGTAGAAGTTGCATACTCTAACTTTACAGGTGTTACACTGACAGTCACCTACCATGGAGGAGAAGTCTGTGTACCGTGTAGTGTAAAAGAAAGACAAAATTCAATTTTAAATCAATGTGGATCTATACTGTTACTGTGTGTGCGGCTATGTCCTTGAGGTGAAATTCCCTTGCCTTGGCCTTGTAGTGCATCTGGGAACATCATGAGAACATATCACACAGAACACTGGGGAGAGAGTCCAAGTCTTACAGGCCCATCAAAGGCCATCCATTTTCTCCACCCTTTGTGCAGTCCAGACAATTTAGAAACCGGTAGCACCCTCAGCTGGGGCTACCCAATTCTGCCAACATATATGCCTCCGGGCAACCTGGTGGAGTTTATAGTTCTGTATGCCCCAGTGCCCTCATGCAATGCATACTCTACATATGCTCCATGGTGAAAGTCGGATGTGCTTCCCCTTTGCTTACTGGGATGACCATGGCAGCAATCGGATGCCTGCCTGAAGAGAGGGCCTCACGGGATTCTCAGTACAAAAGGGCTGTGCACGTAGTCACGGACAGAGCCAGAAACTGCTTCACACTCAGAGTGATAAAAAGAGAGTCTCAAGAATGGACTAGCGTGGCTATTGCCCCCACACTTTCCTGGTTCTTTGTCTTGCACACAGCAAATTTGCTTTCTGTTCTGTAAACCCTGCACCAACATTTCTGAGCAGCCAAGTCTGCCTAACAGGCAGCTTCATCACAGAGTTTGGGATGTTACTGGCCAGTTGTAGTTCAGCCAAGTAGAAAAGCAATGCTTCAGGCTTTTTCCAGTATCTCGGCAGCTACTCTGTGTAGTCATGGCCTGAGCTTACTAAGGTAAGGCCCTTCTGTTCTTCCTTTCACCAACAGCGTGCAGAGGACAGGGCAATCAGCCACTTCCCAAAGCAGACAGGCGCAGTAGAACAGGTACAGTCTGATTGCAGAATATGCCCTGGGGTGTAGAACATCTCTCTGCCTCCTGCATTCGCTGTTTGCATGCCTGCTCACATCTGTACGTGTACACGCACATGCGCAAACACCCACAGAAATAAATATAGGGCTGTTCATCTTACAGGACTGTTGTGTGTGAGCAGTTCCTCAATGCGAAAAAGGTAATTTGATATTCTATGAACTACAGTATTTATTGTAATGAAAATATTTAGAGCATAGTGTAAGTATTATATTAGTTTTCATTTAGCAATTTTTTTTTTTAAAAAAAAAAAGTCACCTTATTCAGTTGTGATGGAGAAAGAGCTACCTCTGTAGTCTTTGTTGGTAGGATTTATGGACCATAAATGTCTTCAGTCCAGAATTTCCTGTGGACATTAGCTATGTGCTGATCTTTTGCTGAGGTATGTGAAATCACGCTAAATACAACAAAAAAGCTTCTGGAGATGTATCTTAGGGAAATGCAGGAGTGGAATTGGTATTGCCTTTTTGTAACTTCCTGAGACGTCACTTCTGATAAATCAGTCAGGGCCATGAAAATGAGGAGATGCTAACTTTCTGCATAAAACTCCACCAGTGTAGTGAGGTGGAGGGAGAGAGATCTCCTCAGGCTGAGCTCATTGAGATTGCTAGAAAACTTCCTGATAATTCTAGTATGCTGTAGAGGGGCAGAAAGAAGTGAAGCCTAAGTGCCTACATTAAAAACATGGTTAAAAGCATCTTATTTAATACACTGACTTTATTTAACATATATGATAATTTAACTTTATTTGAATTCTAAGACATCTAGGGTTCACTTTGCAGTAACAAAGTCAGCTCTTTGTTTAGATCTAATTTCACGCACCACTGAAAAAAATTCTGATGAAACCTAATGTACTGTGGCTGGGGAGAATGATTTAGGATATCTGAATAGCAAGGAACTGGAAAAAGGATTATAGATTTCAGGGAAGAGTGAGTCAATATTATTATTTGGTTTATTTCAATATTATTATCTAGTTTATTTTTCCCCTTAGCCATTCTTGTGATCATCAAAACAAATTTCTTGATCTATGATACAGTTAAGGGAAATAATTAATGAAGTGACTTGTAACTTCTTTGTCATGGCACAGCTAAAAAACCATGTTTGTCTTCTGCAGTCACACAATATAACTATAGCCAGGTTTATTTACATTTTTTCCAATACTATAACAAAAGTTGTCTATGATTTATAAGTACAGAATACTGAGCTGTTATACCTTTGCGATCAGGCAGATTAATCACTCTATAATATTTTTGAATGTGAACAATTCATTTAGTATTAAATACAGAAATACCAATGACGCCTAACAAACCAGATAAGTTCTGCCATCCAAAGTATTTTTCAAAAACACTTCGTCAAATAAGTTGTTTAACTATTCTTAAAAGTATTATTTGCTTGAATCTAGTATTCGTACTCTCTCAGATTTTCTATAATGCGTGTTTTGGTGGATTATCAGCAGTACTACTATGCTAGGGGTCCTTAATCTGATACTGGAACAGTGTTATGACAGTCTCTAATTCATCCATGTTTTTCCTTATCTCTTATTCCAGTTTTTCAGGGTTGAATGCCTTTTGCACACCGCACTGCAACATTGCACCAAAAGCAATGTGAGGATAGAATAGCGCTATCTTTCTCCATGTACAGCATGTCCCCTGCAGAGCTGGCATTTGCTTAAATATCTCCCAGAGAGTCATCTTTACAAGAAAGGAAAAAAAAAAAAAAAGAAAAAAGAAAAAAAAAATTATCAATTTCACTACCCACTGTTGCAAAAAAGATGTGATTTAGCTGGGAAGACTTCTTAGGTACTACAGTAACATTCTACAGGAAAACACAGGTTTGGGTGAAGGCCTTGAGATAATAGTAAAAACAAAATAGGAAAAAAAAATCACATTTAAAGTGTATATGCAAAAACTGTGCAGATTTCCTCAGTGTTAGAAGTACCAAGGCATTTGCTAGGATCTAAGCTTGCATTTCCTTGGGGCAACACTTAAGACGTGTTACTACTGCAAGTAACAGCCCCCTTCCCTTTAAAGAGAATAGGGAAATAAACAGTTTCCATGGCCATCTGCCCACATTTAAACTCTGCAGCTGTAGAATTCTGCTCACAATTGTTTTGATTTGTTGTTTTTTTAAGCCTGAATTCCCAAATGAATTATTTTCTGTTCGTGTGCTGCACATAAAAACCAACAAACTCTTCGAGAAAAATATAGCCTGGTCCTAACCTGCTTGCCATCTGGCTCAAAAAGTTAATGAATTAGATTGAGGGAATCACATAGGTAATAATAATAATAAAATAGCCTGTCTTTTCATTTGTGTGTAGGGTTGTTAGAGAAATCTAAGCAGGATTCTGGAGATGGAATAGGCGGAGATGGATGGTGAAAGTATTTCTTCTTCTCAGAGAGCCCAATTCAAGGCTCACCGAAGTCAGAGCAAATCTTTCCATTTACACAAGTGGGCTCTGTATCAAGGCTATACCATATATACATCATATTTCTGTAAAATACAAAGTATCTTAAAATAATGAACTCCTAAGCTTCTCTGATAAATCCACGAATTGCCCTGTTTCACAGAGAAGCTAAAAGGAAATTGTCTTGTGACTTTTACTCCAGCTGTAGCTTTCGTGTTTGTGTGCCAGCAGCAGCAGAGGACGGGGCAACATAGCTTTAGAAGTCATTTTCAGTGTTACATTGCTAAACCTTGTGCTGAACCTAAACAGAAACCTCCAAAGTAACGGCTGGGGGGGCAGGAGCACTAGCAGGGCAGGGCAAGCCTTCCAGCTGGGGAAGGGGAGAGGAGATACAACCACACCAAAACAACTTACTGTGCTTGATTGTCCCTGTGGAGAAACAAACCCCTATAATTTGAATCTGCATAAATTTGGAATCCGTTCACACTTTATTTTTAATTGAAATGAGACTTCTGCACAAAGATACAGGAAAATCAGATTGCAAGATGAAACTTTTACAATGAAATAATTCAGATCAATGAAATGAGAGAAAGTCTTAGGAGTTTTTTGATTCCCAGTTCTTTTCTGTGTCTCTGGCCTTACTGTTATTCAGTGTAAGTAAAATTGTTTCTTTTCTAATTAAGAAGTCTTATTAATTTGTAGGGAAGTTTTAATTTTTACTATAATTAGTAGCCATCAGCAAGATTATTATTTTCTACCATCTTAATAGTTTGAGAAACAGAAAACATCAAAGTATGGAATTTCCCTCTGTGTTCAAAACATACTCCTTATTAATTTTGCTTGTGATTTTTCACAAGACCCTTTTGATACTGCTGTTGGCCCACTTTCTGTTACTTACAATAAAGCAGTCTTTCATTTTTGTACTTGTGAGAAACATGTTATTTAGAAGGAGCAGATGAATAACTCACATATGGCATAATTAATAAATTATTGCTTTAACTTGGAACGCTCAAAATAGTTCTAATTTTTGCTAACCAAATTTTGATGGATGAAACTAAATACCTAAAATACAGATTCTTTTGAGTTAACGATAAGAAATGGTCCTCCTTCTCACATTGTTGCCCAAACAAAAATAACGTGTTTTCTAGTATATCCATTCTTACTAAGGATCAAATACAGCTCACCTATTTGTAAAATGGGTCCTATTGGCACTAGTGATGAAGATACAGGATCTGTTACAGTGTGCTTCTTCCTGACTTCTCCAGCCTTCACTTATATCAGCAGAAAATAAAAGAGTTTACCCCAATAGGAATAAATTGACTGCAAGTCAAGAGTAGCACTGCTGAGAAGCCTGGATTAACCAGATCCTGTTATACTTCCAAGTGCCTGGGCTGCAAAGATTTTAATGCATTACAGAGGTTTACCACTGTTGTGTGAAGTTAGGTGTGCATGTGTAAGTCTTTAGTAGAGGCAAAGACTCTTGAGTTAAGGGGTTTCAGAAGCACTATATTTTGTCTACTTCCAATCCTCCTGGAAATTTACTGAATTTTTTTTTTTTTAAATCCTAGGCTTGCTTAATCCTAAAATTACACAGGAAGGGACCTATTAACAGCTCTGACCTTCCTCTTGTTACTTACACTTACTTGCTATGGAACCTCATTTGATCTAAGCACATTATATCTGTGTAGTGGAAAAATCATTCCCTGGAGAGGAAAATCAGTCTCCTTGAATGCTGACAGGCAGCAACACAGAAATTAAAATTCTGATTTCTTATGTGATTTCTTGTTTCAAATCCTGATTTTTTTAAAGTATAAAATGAAGAATCACTCAAAAGTTTAAATGGAAGTGAAAGTTCAAAGCAGAGACTTGGAATGTTTTAGATCCAAAAAGACTTGGGACATGTTTTTAAAATGTCAAAATATCATTCTGGCTTGCAGCTATAATATGACTTCTCAGCCTCTTCTCACAGCAATTCTGTTTTGATGACTGTTCCAATAAAATAGTTCCCTCAAAGTTTCTCTGAATGTCTGTGAAAGAGAGCGTGGTTGAGTGTGTGTTCAATTTTATTTATGTAAGTTCAGGTTCATGTAGATGCGGGTTGCCTGCCTATTACTTCAGTATAATTTGTCTCCAAGACTTGTCTTCCTAATGACATTTTTTATTAGTATCCCTTCTTCTTGCTCTTGTTTTTGCAGTCTCTGGTACACATATTTCCCCATTAGCTCATAGGTCTAGATTAGCCTTCTTCGCTGTATACCTAACAATCTTATTCTTACCCATTTCTTTCCTTCTCTGTTCTGACTTCATCCTCCCCACTCGCAGTTTCCAATCCAAACTGCATTTACACCTGACAGTCATTTTTCTTTTAATAATATTGCATCTCCAGCAGAGCTTTAGCACTTCTTCCCCTTTTTGATCTCCAAATTCTTGACCCCTTATACTTTTTCCTCCTTTCCTCCCCCCGTTTCTTTTAACATCTTCAGTCATCTGTCATAGCTTTACAGCTTCATTCACCATGTCAGCAGTTGATAATTTTAATGGCCTTTACCTATATATACACATTATAACTACACCAACACATACATATAAATGTAGTACATGTTTTCCTTCCCATGGAATGCACTGTTTAATACGATTTTGTCAATGTTCTTCCTTCCTAAATTTATTGACAGCAAACTAAGGGATCTTTAGCAGCTGTTCTTGAAAGCCACTACTTCTACTACTATCTTCTGCATCCAGAAATAATTAATTATTTCATTCAGAGCAAATCCAAGCACATTAAGCACCTTTTAAGACAAGTGGTTTATAATGCATGTCAGCAGCGAATGGTTCCAGTAGTACAGACACTCCTTGGTCTCAATTATTACAGCATATTTTCATATGGTTAACCCTCACTCTCATAAATGCCCTGTTACTTCAGTAGGGTGACTCTCTCAGAGTGAGAATTTGCAGAATAAGACGTACAACCCATCAACCACATACATATCAGTGGTCTCACTTAAAGCATTGAAGCTCATTGTACGCCAAACTTACGTGCAGATACAAATACACAGATGAGAGGGAGAAATAAAAATGTTTGTAAGACAGGGGCCTTAGTTTTTAAAAAACACCCATGTCATGCATGTAGCAGTATTTAGATTGAAATAATAAATAATTTTTAAGGATACATGCTTTAGAATAAAATTTTTGTTTCACCCATCTATATGTTACATCTATATAATCAATGAAACAAACAACCTTGATAAACTAACATGATGACCTTTACTGATACGTGAGATAACATTTTTTGTTCTCCCCTTTTTTATTTCACAGCAACTACAGTGCACTTTTAGGAGTGTGGATCTATGGCTTTTTTGTGGTGATCTTACTGGTACTGGACCTTTTATATTACTCTTCAATGAACTATGATATTTGCAAATTTTACCTGGCACGGTGGGGAATCCAGGGAAAGTGGATGACACAGGGACAGAGCCGATGGATTAACCCTGCTCAGGATCCAAGCCAAGTACAGACACAGCCTCAGCCAGAGACACAGCCTCAAAGTCAGCCACAGCCTCAAACGTCACAGACAGTACATACTTTGAAAGGAGATGCTTTAAGCCCACCCCTGATGTCTTTTCAGAGTACGTCTGCCTGGTAAGTAAGTTAAGCCATACTGTGATATATTTTTTGAGTCTGTTGTTTTGTAGTGTGAACAATCACCTGTATTTGGAAGTGCCTGTAGATTCAGGCTGAACGGCACCATTTCTAGCACATAATTCTTTATATCATGAACTACTTACAGAATTAGTGCTTAGGAGTGATTTCTTACTCTGGAATATATTAAGTCCTCTCTTAATATTGTTCTCAGAGAAATAGATGCTGCCATTTTTCAGCACTAAATAGTTTTACTACTCTCTGGTACAAATAAGCTACAAATCTTTGTTCTACATCAACCATTATAAAACGGTTTTTAATCTGGTGTCAAAGACTAATTGCTATGTGTATCTAATTGCTATGTGTATCTATGTATCCATTGGTCTGGTTTTAAAAGGCTGTATAAATGCAACACTGAAATAGCTTCAATGCGAGATATCACAAATCCTCACTATTTGTGGCATGAGACACAGAAACAACATAAAAAGCAGGTTAGTTTTTTTTATATACATAGCCAAAAAAGCATAGTGTGATCTCATTTGTCAGAGTGACACAAGTAGGCTACTGTAAAGTTAAATGCTACACAAACAAAACAAAACCCCCAAAAAACTCCAGACCAAATGGGAGACAGATACTTCAGGAGCAGGCAGAACATACAGTATAAACAGAAGAAACTAAATACTGATAGCCATGGGACAAAATTAAATTGAATTATTTTGGACTGTTTTTACCAAACAAAATGGAAGCAAAGGAAGAGAGCTGAATAAAACCATGCTCTGAACAAGGTGTCAAGAAAGGGAGGGACTTCTTGTCAAGAGAGCATAAAGATTTGGAAGGGGGAAGAGAGGGTAGAATCACCAGCGTATTTTAGAAGTGTTCCAGAAGGCTGAGTGCTGAATTTTGGCAAAATAAAGTGATCTAAGAAAGAGTAGAGTTGAAAAAGACGGGAGCAGTTCCTGAAGCTGTAGAGCATGTAAAGCCACAACATTGGTCTTGGTCTGAAACCTTCGGGTAGCACTGTGTTGTAGATGGAGTGCTGATAGCAGTAGTCCTTTTATTGCATAACTTGCCCTATAATATTAAGTGTAAATCTAGGGTTGAAGATTTTTTTGTAATAGAAAAGGTAGTGATAGTTTGACCCAAGGATGAGGATCAGTGAACAAGGAGGTCATTCAACACAGTAGCCAGTACTGGATGTATCCGGTGCAGATCAGACTTAAGGACCATTCTAGCAGGCCTTGTCCAAACAGAAGAGTCTAACAGTGCTACTTAAGATAGAGACTTGCTTGTGCTTAGTTGTAAGCACTCTTGTTTTCACTTCTTTTTCCTCTTCTCTCCTTTTTTCTTCTTCTAATTCCTTCAGCTGTTTTGCACATTGCTTTCCCAGTCTTCAGTCAGAATTGCTATATACGTTAAGACCAACATTTGTAGTACAATAATTGTATTCTAGCTTAATACATGTGTGTGCGTGTGTGTGTTTATATATAAAAATGAAATGAGTGCATGAGTGTATATATATATATATATAAATTAGGCTGGTTTTACCACTTGGTAATTCTGCCATACCATTACAAATTAAAGGCAACTATTCAATAATTCTTGAATGATTCTTGGTCATTTTCCATTACTGACTTCTGTTGTTCTGTTTCTTTGCTTTTTTTGAAGCATTAAGCGGGGAATGTATGTTAGTATCAGGTGAGCATATCCCATATGCTCCTTCTCCTGTGTTTGCAGGAGACGAGCATTGATAAGTCCCTCCAGTAACTCACCCCTTCCCCAGTGAATTGTCTGTCTGTGCTCCCCTCAGTTCCTATAAAATTGCTTTTTTTTTTCCTAATCCTTTCATTGCTCAGTGGAAGAAATAAGTAGATGTTTCCTTACCAAAACCATATTTATCCCTTGTATTTCGGCATGTAAAACGTTACCAGAGGGTGCTATATTTTCAAACGTATAACCTGCAACTTTTGAAACTCACAACCCCTTAATTAAGTGCATAGGTGACTCAGTCTGAGTTGGATACATCAAAAATACCAAGCAAAAGGTAGTAGGCACTGGCGATCACAGGCAAGGTGTTCAGCATATGATAGAGGTTTTTGAGTAAAGAGCTCCCTCCAAAAATGACAGACTTGTGTACTATAGCAATTGCTAAGACAGTGGGGAGTGAGAGGAGGTTGCCTGGCTATTTATTGCTCTGTTAGATAATCTGCAGGTTATATGCATGAAAATATGGTAATTTTGCCATATAGAAAGTAAGCTTAGTTTCAGAGTCTGTTTCTGCTGCAGTCTGTATTTGATGAATGACCTCAGTGCTGTCTTCTAAAAAAAAAAAACAAAAACCAAACAAAACCAACTCACTTATGTATGTATATATATCGGTGGTATCATACCATAAAAACATTTCCTGTTTACAGGTGAGCTTATTGAAAATACAAAATAGATTTTTTTTTTTTTTTTAACCCTGTGAGACATGCATATATCCCAGGGCATAAAAGCTTAATTACTGTTAAAAACATTTTCAGAACAGTTTGCAAGTTTTCTGATGACAGATGTTGTTGAAGTTGCTCGCTTCCTGTACTACATTTATCCTAATACAGTTAAAAACCATGCCCATTCTAGTAGACACTACATGATAATAATACGAAAGTGATTCTTGCACATCAAGAATCTCAGCAACACCGAAGACTTTAGGTATCCTTATTGTAGAGAAGTGACAGTGTAAGAAACTATCCCAAGAAAGATGGCAGGATTAAGCTACACTTTGTAAAGCAGTTTGGGATCTTCCTGGATTAAAAAAAAAAAATTAAGTGCTTTTTATTTTATAATTTCTTTTCTTGCTCTAGTTTAAATGCTATGAATTGGCAATGAAACCAATGACTGAAACAGATATGTCAGAGGGAAAAATCAAGCAAGTCACAGTATATAGCGGGTAGAACCATCCCCAAGATGTTTAAACATTTTGTCGTAACAGATCGCTTTATTATTTACTTGAGACAAAGAGGACCACGTATAGCCATAATATTATTATAACCAAAGAAGTCTGGAATCCGTTATACATGCTGCTGCCTGCTCTGCAGAGGGCTCGCAGTGTTGTTTCAAGGACAGGAAGGAAAATCATTAATATCAGAAACATCAAGCCCAGTTTAGAACAATGTTGCTTCATCACGTAGTGTATGGATTTTGTGGCCCAACTAACGCTGATTTCTTCTTTAGTATGGAAACCATCTGAGGGCTGTCCAAAGGCCTGTGTGGTCTGAAGGTCCTGGTGGATGTACCTTCTGCAACCCAAACACCGTCACAGACTGCACATGAATGAGTTTAAACGGTTGCCTCACGGTGGTTGCTCCAGGCCATGGCTGAGGTTCATGAGCTGGGCCCTTCCACGCTCACTGGTCCGTGTAAGAATCTGCAGTCTGGTTAGCCTGAGCAAGCTTTTAACAGCTGGAGACCAAACAGCAACAAGCAGCAGGCAAATCATTACTACTACTCAACAAAGTACAAGCCAGGGAGGCGATAAAATGAAATATTGTAAGTTGAGGAATCAAAACTCTGACTACTGAAAAAACTTGCTCTCACAACCATGGGAATATTGTTAATTAATAATGACTAAAAAAGGTCAGACTAGCAAGGAAGATCACCTAAGAGGAAGTGTGGGCCTGGGCAGCCTGGCAGAGTTTCTCCAGATTCTCCACGGCTGTGCTGTGTTCCAGATGTGAGGGGAACAGATGAATGTGATCTCTCTGCCTTGCTCTGGTGATGTTAAACTCCTGCCCACCTCCATCAAGGATGCAAGTCACAGGGAATACTGTCTTGAAGTGTAACTTTTGCCTCTCTATTCCCTGCCTGTCTGCACAGCAGCACACAGAGGCATTGTGTGCTCTGTATACGATCATATATGTTATGCTACGTGACTCACGGTCTCGGAAACCTGCTGGTTGTCCAGGATCAGGAAAAGTATCAGCCCAGCAGGGTAAGCCCATGTTTATTTCATTTATGCAGTTGGAATGGGTTAGACGAGACAAGTCTATTTTACTTCCCCTTGTTAGAAGTTGCAATCTGCTTTTCCTGTAAATTCCTCTGAGTCACATTGTCTTTTGGACAACAAATAGAATAGTTTTTACTCTGCTGCTATTCACCTGCTAGGTGACACCTCTTCAAATGGCTATCAAAGCACTTATGAACAAAGAGAGAGAAAAGCTTATAAAAATATTGGCAGAGTTTAGAAGCCAGTAGGTAACTGAGGATGTCCACAACAACTGTGCAAAAAACACAGGGAATAAAAACTTTACTGGTGGCTAAAAAGGCTACGTGAAAGAATGCCCTTTGATACCAAATTTTGAAACAGGATACAGGCTATCACTGGAGCAAAATACCCACATTCAGTAGGTCTTCTGCTTCAGTAATTTCTAATTGCTGCCCATGCAGGCTTGCCTGTGTCACCTAGCTTGGGACATTGGCACTGAAGTGGGTCGCCGTGCAGTGTGAACATGGCCATAGTCCACCAAAAACATTAGGCACTGGGGTGGTGGGAGGGTATTGTGCAGAGGCTGCTCTTGTTACAAAATATTTACAATAACAAAGTGAACAAAATCTGCCTCCTTCCACTTTAAGTGTTTTGAAAATAAGAAAGATCTCAAATTTATATTTGCAAAATCGCTACATTAAACAGGAATGCGATGATACTGTTTTAAACATGCAAAATTTTGCATCATAGGGCAAAGCATAGTTTTTATTTGCAGCCCTTACATAGATTTTTGTATTATACTCAGACTAAATATGGCAAACCAGAGCACCAATAGTTTTTTTTAAAAGATGGAAAGAAATAAAAATACTCATACAGTGCATTTATGAAAGAACTGTCTGGGAATTAACATCACCTGGAGAATCTGTCTGGTAACAGACATTAGGTGTGTTGGGCAACCTTTATTATATGTGTGCCTCCATTCTCTTCAAAATATATTGCATTAGAATAACAGATATCGTTGAATATATTTTCCTGCTAAATATTCTTGTCTGTTTGCTAAGAACTGCATAACTGTGAAGATAGAAATTGCTTAAAAACAAGAGCACAGCTAAGGAAATCACTTTCTGCTCCTAGAAGAGCCAGATGCTGAAATTCCTTTTTTACATTGCATATCCCTTCTCCGGCCTGGCCTCCTCGTTGATGTCAGGGCAGGAGACCAACAACACAAACAGACAGTGAGCTTGGAACCAAACGCCTCAAAATCTGCAACACTCTCAGTCTTGTTTACTTGCCTCAGTACTATAATCATGCAAATAAATGGGAAGATTTAGTTTTGATTTTTATCATTTACATTTAAATAATTCAGGATACATACGTTACTGAGTGCTTTCTTTCTTCCTTATATTTAGAAATTTGCTATTAGCATGTGAAGCTAAGCCAATATGCAAGGTTTCTATCCACCTCAATCTGAATATAGGCAATCTTTGTGTATATTGATAGACGCTGCATCTTTTGTTGATACGTATGTAATACATATTGTTCATTTCGTGCCTTACTCCCCTTTTCCTTTTGCTCTGTAAATTATAGACCCCATATTGCAACATCTATTTATCTACATTCTTGTTAACTGTAGATTCATTGGATATGAACTGATTGATGTTCCCTATTCTAGCTGTTTCTCAGCCTTTCCATCAAATTGGGACTGTCGCATTCATCAGCTTCAGGAAACTCTGTCTTTTAAATGGACTGTACAGTTGAAGTGCTTTAACTTAACTTAAGTGTGGTAATGAATTGTCAGAAAATAGCAATTAGAACAAAAGTGAGTAGTTAAAAGAAGTTGTCTGAAGACTATTGCTAAATGTACTCTGCACACTGAGAAATGAAAGCTAGTAAAAATACTGGAAACTGGTTCTGAACATCTTCCATATTTAAATTTTCTCATGCATTTTGAGTACAATTTTTTGCAGCGAGATCATTACCTCATCTAGATTATAACAAATCAAGAATAACACTACAGAAGTAGCAGATAGCAGTGTAAAATGCATGTGAAATCAGAAGACTCCAATTAAGCCCACAATTGCACTGCATAATGTCACAACACTACAGCATCACACACAGGCATGAGTGTGACATCCCAGGCTTTATCAACCAATTCCATCTTCTCTGTCACAACAGAAACCACTTAACTTTAAAAGACTCTGTGGTTATTTTAGTAGTTACAAAACCTCTACCCTGTACATCCTCTTAGGTGCCAGATGCTCAATAGTAATTGTAACAGCACATGCACATTTTACACTCTTATATATGTACTGAAAAATAAAATAGCAAGGTTATTCTAAAGCTCCTCACTTAGGTTCTGAACTATCACAGAGAAACTTTAAAACAGCCCCAGCCACTTCGCAAGTACAGCTGAGCGCAAGAGCTGAGCTTCCTACCCTGGGACATTCATGCAGTCTGGCCCTTTCTTGCAACAGCAGCTCATCAAAGGTGTCCAGGCTGGCTGATTTCACTTCCACGTTTGCAATTACAAAGCTAAGTCAGGCGCTCACAATCACTCCTGATTTAGTTCTGTAAATATAAATGTAACTGAAAATCAGCCTAGTTGTCTCTGACATGCTTTTAAGAGTAGCTGGGTCTAGAGTAGCACAATCAAAGGTATGGAGCAGTGGGTAGCTCCCATACCGTGTATTGAATTGTGCAGTCTCAGCTGTATTAACCTTTAACTGGCAGGCACCAAAGCTTCTATTACATTGATAAAATTAATCTAATTACGTTTTTTTTTCTAGAGACTAAATAAGGGAGATGGATGAGCTAACAACAGGGAGAATAAAGAGCATCAGCTAAAGATATTGCAAGTGGTATAAGAAATGAAAGGGGAGGTGTTAAGGAGCTGCAGTTAATAATCTAAACAGGGAAGCCTTCCTGTGTTTATGCAAAGTTGCAACAGGATTTCTAAGTAGGAGATTTAGCGTAACTCAGACTTCTGAACGGAAAGAAAGCACTTTTCAAAAAAAAAAAAAAAAAAGAAAGAAAATGATGGACAGAACACTGTCCATCTGAAGTAGACTATGCCCCAGAGAACTACTAAAAACACCTGCAAACCAACTATCTATGTACACTCGGTGCTTTTAACAGAAGTGAGAATGAAGAAGAAGAAAAAAAGTAAGAGCCTCTGAAGTAAAATCCTATTGCTTTCAGTGTCTTGGAAAATCAACTCCCAACATATATTTTGGATGTCAAGAAATGGGTAACTCCCTAACTCAAGGAGGAACAAGCAGGTAGTAGTGCTGAAGATCATGTACAGACCAATTTATTATTCTCAGAGTATTATTATACAAAAAGCCATATGTAATAAATAATCCTTTTTTGGGATTGCAGAAGATCTTTTAGAGTATGCTAAAATTTCTACATGAAATAACGGCATGCTATAGAATACCAGACAGTAATGAAATCATCAAAAGCTTATGTGATAAAGCTGAAGGCATGACTATAAATGGTAACAGTGTCAGACAATTATTTGCAGTGAGAGCTGAGGTCAAGGATCTACCACATCATTACTTTTATTGTCACTGTTCCCTGATTAGATCATGACGAAGACAACCGCAGCAAGCAATTAGGCATTTCATCAGAAAAGTGATAAAACATGTTTATATGACCTTGGTTTTATAATGATGTTTCACCGCACA